TTGCTTTATTTATTCTCTCTCATCTCATATACATTTACATGCTGCTTTGTTTCTGAACCATTTGGGAATAAATACAGACACCATACTCCTTTATTCCTACATACTCCAATGTCTATTTCGTGAGGACGTTCTCTTGCATAACAACAGTATCATTATCAAGATGAGGAAATTTAAGATTGTTACATTACTATGACCAAAATTCAAATTTGGTCAATTGTCCCTACATTGTCCTATAAATTATAACAAACCTTTCCCTTGGTCCAGGACTCACTCCAGGATGATGTGTTGCATTTATCTGTCAAATATTTTTGGTATTCTGTAATCTGGAATGGTCCTCTGGCTTGTTTGTCTTTTATGACCATAACAATTTTGAGGAATACAGGCCAGTTATTTTATAAAACGTCCCTCAATTGGCCCTAATGTCTTTCTGATTAGACTCAGATTATACATTTGGGACAGTAATACCACAGAAATGATGTTGTGTCCTGCTCAGTGCATCTTATCAAGAGGCACAGAATGTCACTTTTCCCCATTTTTGCTGACCGTTTGGGTAAGGTGGTGTCTTCCAGTTTTCACCATTATAAAGTTCTCGTATTCTTTTTCTTTGATTAATATGTAATTTGTGGGGAGACACTAAGAGACATGTAAATGTCCTTCTCATCAAATTCTGCCAGCCACTAGCTTTAGCATCCATTCATGATTCTTGCCATCATGGTAGCAAAATGGTGAAGAAAACATATTTGAGTTTTCTCTTTCTCATTTCTCTCTTTCTCATATATCTCCTTTCCAGAGATTGCAATCTTTTTTTCCAGTAGCAGCCTTATTTAGCTGACCATCCCACCCACCATTCCCTCACAAACTGTGTCTTGTTTTCTCATCTGTGAAAAGGGACAAAGAATGTTTCCCCTAGGTTGCCTTTTGGAGCAGCTGCTGGTAGGTTTGCCCTGGAATCTTGAGTGTATGCGTTCTTCCTACACAGCACCAGGCACTTATCATGCGATACCATATCAAACCCACCCAGCAGGCCTGTTATAATGTAGGCACAACTATGAACCTCGTTTTGCAGGTAACAACAGATGTTTAGAGAGGATACCTGTGAGTAACTTGCCTGAGGTTCCAGCTAGTTAGCTTTAGTAAAAGGCAGAGCCTGGGTTGGCAGCTAGACTGAGTCCAGAGCCTACGTGCTTAACTGCTACCTTATACTCATCCAAAGCAGACTCATGGCTTGCTCGTGGCAGGGACAAGAGTAGGATGAGCTGGGCAAGGTGCCTGGGGTGCAAAATTTAAGAAGGCTCTCAATCTCAGGTCCTGACCCTGTGCCCGCATGATACTGACAGTGAGTGTCCCCTTAAAATGTGCACCCTAGGCTCACTTCGCCCTCCTCCAAGCCCTGGTTCTTGGGGAGGGCTGGACAGTGGGAATTGGCCTCCGTCACAGTTCATTGTACAGCTCACATATAGTCCTGGGATACCTGGGAAGGTAGGGATTTCCAGTTTCTCCCTTTGGTCAATGGACAAACTATTCAGCCTTGAGCCTGATCTGTTCTAAGCAATGCTAAGCACAGAGACTACGATGAGTACCATTCCTGCCCTCCTATAGCTTGCAGGTCTAAGCATTCACTTCCAGGGGAATCAATATGACAGGTCAACACTTGGGCCTTCTTAAGAATCACCTTGGGCTTCCCTGGTGGCGCAGTGGTTGAGAGTCCGCCTGCTGATGCAGGGGACACGGGTTCGTGCCCCGGTCCTGGAAGATCCCACATGCCGCGGAGCGGCTGGGCCCGTGAGCCATGGCCGCTGAGCCTGTGCGTCCGGAGCCTGTGCTCCACGACGGGAGAGGCCACAACAGTGAGAGGCCCGCGTACCGCAAAAAAAAAAAAAAAAAAAAAAAATCACTTCAATGTGCATTGGCACATTTTTTGTGGATTTCAAAGTACACAAATGGATTAAACTCTGCTGTCTTGACAACCTCATTGTTTTCCCTTTTCATTAACCTTTTTGCATTTATCTTGGTTATGGTTTGCTTTCCCCACTAACAGAATGAATACTTCGGGGTATTAACTCAGCTGTGCTTCCCTTGGGCTTTATTTCCTTTCAGAACTTAGCTCTTGACAGGACCAGGTTTCAGAAGCATGGGCTCAAATTACAACGTTGCCACTTAGTACTTATGTTCTTGGAAAAGTCAGTGTGTCCCCTGAGACTCAAGTGTTTCATTGGTCCACCAATGTGCCAAGATCATCTTTCCCAGGATTCTGAGTAAAGTGATACAGACGCCAAGTAATCTTAAATCACAGGTGCCATTACCCAGGCAGCAGATGCTGTGCCTGGCCTTTCCTAGTACCAACTGTATAGTGGGGGTGTTGGAAAGCAAAATCTAACTACAAAGGTGATTTTGTTGGAAAAACATCCCAAAGTATTTTCTATTTCAAATACACATTATTACTTTTTTTCTTTCTTGGATGATCTCAAAAATTCAAGTTCGTTAATCAGATTAAGCTTTGCAGCCATCCCAGGATTACATTTTTGGTTTATTAAACTACTTCAAGATGTATTAAAACAATGTTATTCTGTAGTACGTGAAATGTCCTTCCAGGGAGGACAGTGGGAGCAGAGAAAAATTATGAAACATATAATACATTGTTCTCAACGTGGGACAATTTTTTAAAATTAATTTTACTCTTTTTGGAAACACTGTCACCAAAAGGAAAAGAATGACCTCACTATAGAACTACATGTATGAAGCAAGACCTACTATCATGTATTTATAATTTTTTTTACTTTCACATTTTTAATAAATTTGAAGGGGGTAGGGAGGTTTTTCATTAATGGGTTGGTATATATACAGCCCATGGGTCTTTGGTCTAAAAGCCAACTCTTAGGGAATGGAATAGGACATAGAAATCATTTGATTAAAAAGTCCAGTGATTCGGTTGCTACGCAATGGTTGCAAAGTTTAAAACTGAGTTTGAGGGACCCTGCAATGAAAATAGCTCAGACACAGAGGAGTTAAGAGACAGTTTCTCAGGCCTTGGCTCAGTTATTCCTTACAAATAACGATTCTGCATGACTAGGGAATGATTTAATATGCAGTCTTGGAAAGTTGAAAGGTGATTTTTCTGGTCACAATTTCTATTTCCAAATAGGGCAAAATGAGCCATCGCTTCTACCAAGGTACCATCATTTCTAGTGATAGTCCCATGAATCAAGTTAATTCTTGTGCTGCCAGGAAAGTCGGAATTTTCATTAGTTCTAAAAGCTCTTAACCATAGGTTTCAGATAGGTAGCATTTTAAGTTAAGACTTCTCTGGAAATGACCATCTTTGTTTTTGCATTTTAGCATCCAAGTTGTATGTGCAATTTGCTCTAATTAGGTCTCAATTTTTCCTATTAGCTGTTATTGCTGGAGAATGAAATGGGCAGGTCATTGTGTCTTTTAATCAACGCTGTAGTGTGATCTTGCTTGCACCATGACCTGCTCTCAAACATGCTTGTATCTTTTCAAACATACTGTCTGTAGCCTAGGGGCAGAGAAAACATAGGATTGTTGCATTTTAAAAGGTTCATATAACAGTATCTGCAAGAATGTCAGACATTTGAGTTACGTTTCTGCAATTACAACCATAAGTACAAGAATGAAGGTTTTTCTTTTTCTCTGGACAATAAGGATCCTCCCTAACCTTAAACTAGATTGAGTCTTGAGCAGCCATAGACAATACATAAATGAATGGGCATGTTTGTGTTCCCACAAAATTTCATTTATGGACACTGAAATTTGAATTTCATAGGGTTTATTTGTATCATGAAATAGTCATCCTTTCGATTTTTTTCAACCATTTTAAAAGCTAGAAACCATTCTTAGCTCTGGGGCTGCATAAAAACAGGCAGCAGGCTGGGTTTAGCTCTTGAGCTGAGTTGTAGTTTGCTACAGTAAGTGGCAGAGTCAGGATTTGAACCCAGGCAGTATGGGTCCAGTGAGCTCTTAACATATATATTATATATTATATTATATGTAATACATATATGTTAACATATATATATATTCAATATGATGATAATGATAGTAAATCACGCTCTTTATAGAAAATCTAGCAAAGGATGAAAGAGAAAATAGCAACCACCCACAAAACCACAACCCAGAAATAACCACTAGTAATATTTGATGTTTTCTTTCCATTCTTTTGTCTACTATATGCAGTATTCAGTTTATAAATTTTAGTTTTTCACTTATAAACATTTTTCACATTTCCACACAGGCCACACAATTATAATAATTAATGGATACGTGAGAGTTCATTTTAAATGTACTAGGGGAAATTGCTATTTTGAAAAAAATCCTACAGCTAATAATTTCATAAATCAAAGAATCTTTTGATTAAGTTGGTCACTTTTCATTTACCTGCCACATCTTTGCATTTCTAGGAGTTGGATTTTTTAAAAGCAACCTTGATTGCAGACAGCAGTAAAAAGGCTTTGGAATCCACCAGACCTGAATTTGACTTCTCACTGACCCTTTATTGGCCAAATGGCCCTGGGCAAACCGTCAGTTTTTGTTAATCTGAGGTGTTAACTGAGGTGATGTTCAGGGACACCTCAGTTTTCCCTTGTTCCGAAGAGAAACCAAGACCACTATATATAATGTCCCAAGCAGGGACCGAGCGCAGAATTCCGCTCACTTGGTAGCAGCCAGTACTTATGTTCCCTGCCACCAACCACTCCCAGTGCCCAGCACCAGCACAGGAAATAGATTCCTTCCCTCAACACTGTAGAGAAAATGTCCTTTTCTGTTTTGAGCGGCAGGAGTCTTCTTCCTGGAGTGTAAATGGGCCCGCGGGAATGAGGATAAGAAGAAGGATTAATGAGGTGGGTGGACCTGATCTGGAAGTGCCCACCCCGCCCCTTGCCACTCCTGCCTCAACCCAACCAGGAGACTTTGGTCAAAGTTTCCAAACTGAAGCAGTGTCCAGGTTCCTACAATAGCAGGTGGCACCCTGACCTAAGCAGAGGCAGTGTTCTATTTCACAGGTACAGGGGATCTCCAGCCCAAACATCTGAAAAGAATTCGGAGCCCAGCCAAATCCATGAGCAGCAAAAACTCTTTGGAGCTGCAGAGGACGGCAGCACTCACAGCCGAGGGCTGCAGCAACACTGGCTTTCAGGTGAGCAGACCTTTCCTCTTGTTTAAGACCAAGTAAATGGAAGTAATGCTCTTTCCTTGCCTTTCTGGCAAGTTTCTTAACTACAGCAGAGGGCTTCTTGGAACGCAATAAGATTTTTAGTGGCACTCTTTAAGCCTATTATTTTTCCTTCTTGGGTTCTTCTCAGGTTGACAAACCTGAAAAGTCTCTTAACCGAAACTGTTTTGGTCCCTGCCACTTAAAGACAAGATTGTCCTCTCCTACTTGTGTTTAGGGCTCATATGGCACAGATATAGTTTTGTTTTGTTTTTTTATGTATTTATTTATTTATTTTTGGCTGTGTTGGGTCTTCATTGAGGTGCGTGGGCTTCTCCTTACATTGGCTTCTCTTGTTGCAGGGCACGGGCTCTAGAGCGCAGGCTCGGTAGTTGTGGCGCACGGGCTTAGTTGCTCCGCGGCATGTGGGATCTTCCCGGACCAGGGCTTGAACCCGTGTTCCCTGCGTTGGCAGGCGGATTCTTAACCACTGCGCCACCAGGGAAGTCCACAGATATAGTATTTACCTACAGACATTTTCCCAAAGAACTGGTGAGAGGGGAAGAATGGGGAAGAATCCAGATCCTGGATGTAGTTAGCACCTCAGGGTCCCTTTCTCTTAAACCAGGTCTCAGAGCCCCTGTCAGATGGTGGCCTGGGTACCTGCCCTGCTGCAGGGGGCAGGTACCCAAATCATCTCATGTCATCATCCAAAACTCACTGAGTGATTAACACTGCTTGGCCCAGGGCTAGGTACCACAGAAGTCCTGTCACCATAAATCACCAGGCTTTTATCTGACTGGGTCTGGGATGGGAATTTTTCGGGGCTGTACCCAGGTATACTTCTTTTTTTTTTTTTTTTAAAGCACTGAAGTAGCTTACTTCCTTGCCTCGAATTAGAATGAAATATATATTTTTAAAAATTTATTTATTTATCTATTTTTGCTGTGTTGGGTCTTCGTTTCTGTGCGAAGCGGGGGCCACTCTTCATCGTGGTGCATGGGCCTCTCACTATCGCGGCCTCTCTTGCTGCGGAGCACAGGCTCCAGACGCGCAGGCTCAGTAATTGTGGCTCACGGGCCTAGTTGCTCCGCGGCACGTGGGATCTTCCCAGACCAGGGCTCGAACCCGTGTCCCCTGCATTGGTAGGCACTCTCAACCACTGCGCCACCAGGGAAGCCGCCAAGTATACTTCTTTTCCTAACCTGACACTCAACATGGGAAGCTCACATGAGCAGGTGTCAGCAATCTCTTGGGCTTCAGCTTCAATAAACAGGCAAAACAAATGTTTAGGCACTAACAAAGAAAGGAACAAGGAAGGTAAAAGGGCTTTGACTCAAGTTGACTCAAGTCCTGAGTCTTCTACTCACAAGTTATTGTAACTTCCTTGATCTTCGGTTTAGTTATCTGTGCATGTGTCACAGTCATGCTTATCTCATAGATTATAAGTATAGGGGATGAAAAATCTTACCCTCTACCCTCTAATGTTCAGTTCCTAAGGTCTGTGAATTAAACTGACAAATGGCAGATAAACAGGAGCAAAGGCATATTAATAAAAATATTTATTAATATTTTTAATCTTTTGTACACATAAAAGTGACAGAAAAGAAGGCTTCACAGGAAAGAAGGGAACATCCCAAAGAAGCAGTAAGACTCAGAGGCTTATATACTATTTTAAAAAGGAGATAAGGGCTTCCCTGGTGGCGCAGTGGTTGAGAGTCCGCCTGCCGATACAGGGGACACGGGTTCGTGCCCCGGTCTGGGAAGATCCCACATGCCGCGGAGCGGCTGGGCCCGTGAGCCATGGCTGCTGAGCCTGTGCATCCGGAGCCTGTGCTCCGCAACGGGAGAGGCCACAAAAGTGAGAGGCCCGCGTACCAAAAAAAAAAAAAAAAAAAAAGGAGATAAATTGTGGAGAAGTGACTAGACAAAGGAAAGAGTGGTTGGGCTCTTAGGGCAAATAAATTGTGGGAAAGTGATGAGGAAATATATGGAGGTAACTACTGGAAGATAAGGTTTGACCATGAGGTATCTCCTCGCCATTTCTGTCTCCAGTGACTATGGTTGTTCTTTGTCTGTTATGGGAGAGGGCAACACTCGCACGAGGGAAAATTATGCCCTGTTTTTAAGCAGATAGAGGAAGAGAAGAGATATCTTCTAAGAATTATTTTGAACTGAAGGCAGACACAGAAAGAGCTCTCGGCTCTTCCTCTATCTGCTTAAATATGGCATATTTAAGCCAAAGTGGCATATTTGGAGTGGCATATCCTGATCGCCATCATAAGTGAGAAAAAAGCATAAAGCAGGGAGCCTTTTCTGATTCAAAAGAATGGAAGGGTTGGAGTGGGATAAAGGGTCAAAGTGAATATGGCAGCAAGAGAAAGGCATCTGCAGTGGAGAAGGGTGCCTGTTGCCAGCAGCTGGCTGCCCATGGTCAGTGAGCAAGACACAGAGCCCCTGAAAGCCGCCCTGTTTTCTATCCCTCACACTCTTCTCCCGCAGCAGAGCATCTCCAGGCCTCAGGGTGCAGAGCAGTGCCTCTCAAACCCCGCAGAGTACCACACACCAGCACCAACAAGCGTTGACCAGGTTATTCGTCCAGTGCTTCTCCTTCAACGAGAATTTCCAGAGACATGTATTTACTCAGCAAGATTGTTAACTGCCCCCTGGATGTGGCCACTACTAGAGAGGGAGACGAGTTCAAGAAGGAATAATATGCTAATCTTGCATCACAGATGTTCGGAGAACATCAGTTAGAGCTTAACGGTGGGCAGGGATTTCCCAGTTGAACAGGGAGGGGTGTCAGCAGAGCATCACAAATAAAGAGAACTGTCTGTACCCAGGCCCAGGGGCCTGAAACAGCCTGTGTGCTTGGGGTAGAGAAGATGCGGACCTGGGGCTGGGGAGTAGGGAAAGGGGGCAGGCTGGCGTCAGATCACGTGGCCTAGGCATTTGAGAAGAAAGCAATCAACATCTACACTCTCGGGAATTCCCTGGAGGTCCAGTGGTTAGGACTCCACACTTTCACTGCTGAGGGCCCAAGTTCAATCCCTGGTGGGGGAACTAAGATCCCGCAAGCCACGCAGAGCAGTCAAAAAAAAAAAAATCTACACTATCAAATCATTAAAGGACTCTACTAGCCCTGTTAAAGATGGACAAAAAATGGAAAGAGATTTGTGTGTGGTTGGGACACCAGTTAGGAGGTTAGTGTGATGATCAGAAGTAGGTTAGAGGCGGTGGAAACTGACGCAGGGGGAAAGTACTTGTGCTCCTAAGAGGCCACTGCGTGGGATTGGGCAGAAGTCAGGGTGAGGAGTCAGAGCTGCTCTGCCTGCGAATATTTCCACATCCTCCTCTGTAATATATGCAAAAAATACATGTAATATATGTTTTTAAAAATGCTGTCTTAGTTCACTCAGGCTGCTGTAACAAAATATCTCGGACTGGGTGGCTTATAGACAGAAACATATTTTTCACAGTTCTGGAGGCTGGGAGGTCCAAGATCATGGCGTCAGCAAATTCTATGTCTGGTGAGGGCCCCGTCCTCACATGGCCAAAAATGCAAGGGAGCTCTCTGGGCTTTTGTCTGTTTGTTTGGCCGCACTGCACAGCTTTGGATCTTAGTTCCCCAACCAGGAATTAAACCCGTGCCCTCAGCAGTGAAAGCATGGAGTCCTAACCACTGGGACTAACCATGGAGTCCTAACCACTTCCCTGGGACCACCAGGGAAGTCCTCTGGGGTCTTTTATATAAAGGCACTAAACCCATTCATGAAGGCCCTTCCCTCATGACCTAATCACCTCCCAAAGGCCCCACCTCCTAATACACCATGCGGGGCATGACATTTTCAAAACAGGAATTTGGCGGGGGGCGTGGTGTGTGGACACAAACGTTCAGACCGTAGCAAGTGCCTAGCACAGTGTGAACATAGTAACAGTAGCTCTTGGTGCCAGGACAGGTTAAAGTCCACATTTCTAGCTTGAGATATCCACTTGGAAGTGATTCCCTTTACGTATATAGGAAATCTAGGAATCGGGTTGGAGCAAGGAAAAGAATGACTTCATTTTGAGGCTGCTGGTTGAAATTATGAGGCTGAACATCCAGATACAGATATAAATGGAGCAGGAAGCTTTAGGCACACCTGCACCTGGAGCCTGGAAGGGGACATTGTACGTTTGGGGGCTGTTAGCACAGAGGTGGCCAGGGTGTGGACGAGACCACTGGGAGGGAAACCTGGGAAGTGCCAGTGTTTCAGGAGCAGCAAAGTCAGAGAAGTCAGAGGATGAAACAGAGAAGCCAGAGGGAGAGAGAGGACAGAACCAGAGGAGGGAAGGTCTGGGGAAGCAGAGGGGAAAGAGAACCACAAGGTGAACAGCAAAGACCCCTCCACGGTATGGAAGAGACACGTTCATCTGATTTGCTAATTAGGATATTACTGGTGACCGGGGCTGAGGGCCGGGACAGTCTGTGTTATAAGTGGGAGTTAAGAGACTGGAGAAAACGAGGACAGAAAGGACATTCCCCTGGCAGAGAGGAGAGGAGAGAAGAGGGACAGGCTCGGGAGAGGCAAGATGGAAATTGTAGGCAGGGTTTTTCTTATCATTGTAAATTATGACATGCAGAAAAACACATAAAACCAAATACACAACATATTATAAAGTGCGACCCAGGTCAAGAAATAGGACATTGCCATCCCTCAGCTCGGACACCCCTGCCCTGCACATTCTGTTCAACTGCCCCCCCCTCAGGCATAACGAGGTTCCCAACTTTGTGGTAACTACTTCGCCGTTTTGCCTTATGCCTTAACTTCTAATTATGAATCCTTAAACACTGCCTTTACCTGTTTTTGAACTTTATATAAGTAGAAAACCTCAAAAAAATTATTTGCTTCTTTTAGAACATTTATATGGAATTAGGTAAGATGAATCATTTTGTATCTGGCTTCTTTTGCCAGATATTTTATATTTCTAAGATTCAGCCATAG